CCCAAACTTTGCAAACTCCCACCAATCAGTTATTCTTATAAAAAGCTGCTAGTGAGTCCTAAATTACTGTAAAAATAAAAACACTCTACTACTGCTATCAAGGTACCCAGGAGGCCTGCGAAAAGAACAGCAGTTTGTGGCAAGGATTACTGCTTTTACTGCCACCCTCTGCCCTCCCGGGGATGGTTAGCCAGAATGTTGAGCGCGCACAAGCCAATTCCTGTCATGAAGGAAAATTGGTTTTTACGGGTCACAAAAGCTCTGATACACTAAGTAGTTTACAGTGGGAATGAGACAGAAATGTAAATTCTACATACTCTGGGTTGGTTTGGTGAGCTAGACTGTAACCTGGCAACTCCTAGGTCAAGTCAAATGCGGTTCAGAGACCATTTTCAGTAATTTTCAGAGCAGTGACTCAATGCTGGCAGCCATTTCACACACTGGAATGAACTCTGAAAAAGATATCAGTCTATCAAGGACGGTTTAAAGGGGCCAGTCACCTCCATCGCCAACGGGCTCCCTAGTTTGGGAAAGTCCGTGGGTTATTGAATGCATCCAAAGACAGGACTCACACTGCTGGCAGAGTGAGGAGGAAGGAGTCAATGTAGGAGGGAAAAGAAATCCAGCAAGTTCAGAATGGATCCTCCTGGGTGTCAAAGGGAGAGGTGGATTTGCAAATCCCAAGCCTCATTACAAAAGCTAAATCAGTCTTTATAAGGGAAGTCTACATGAGATAATCCATGTAAAGGGCTTAGCACAGTGCCCAGCACATAGTAATGCTAGCAACAGAGAACATTTATTGAACACTTAACAACAGTGAATCCTCCTTAGCTCCCTCTCGAAGAAAGCAGCAGTAGAAAAAATTCTGAAGCAAGTACCGACCCTGTTGAAGAATATTAGTTTCGTTTTGTTTTGTGCTCTCAAGAGAGAACATAGTGTTTGTGTGCCTTAAATGCAACAATCACAAGAGCGCCGTCCTTGGGGAACTGGAAGAGAGGCTTGCAGGGCAGAGATTTCAGATAAAAGGTTAAAAGGAAGAGCTAAAGCAGCATCCTCCTAAAGTTACTAAATTTATGGTCCCAAAACTTATGGACTCTGCGGGGAAAGGGTTAATGGCAGACTTAGTAAAGCTGGGAAATTTTAGAGCGAGCACATTAAACAATGTGAAAAATCAGCAAAACTGGTTTGCCATGAACAGCAGTCTCCCTGAAATAGGCTCTCATTTACTTTTCATTTCTTCTGCTCTCCAGTCCCTTCTCTCTGAAGCAGCTCTTGATTAGTTTCTTTTTAATTGCCACTTAATTGGGAAATAAAATTAGAACACTTATTTGATATCAGTGATGAGGTCTCTCTTTTCATTTCTGCTTTGATCTAGTTTTGAAAAACCAAAAGCTGAAGAGAGAAATTAAGAAAAAGGAACTAAAAAGATTTCTTCTTCTAAGAGCCAGATACAGCTATAAGCCGTCAAATAAATGTGGAAAGAGCCACTCTTGGAGAATCTGAAGAATAAAACAGAAGCAAGTAAGGATAGCTTTATGGAATTCTATTCAAAAAGACCTTTCTTTTCTCTTAAGTTTCTTCATAAAGGATAATATCTCATGATTAGGAAGTGAAGAAAACTTTTAAGAACCCATATTAACCTGTCCCCATGGAGTAAGAGAACAGAATGGGAAACAGACATCCCTTATCAAAGCATTCTCGATCCATGGCTTCCCAGAATCTCAGTGCTATCGATGACACTGCAGAATAAATTCTAGGAACGAATCCTACAAACAAAATAGTCTAAAAGTTTTCCCTTTCCAAAACACCCAGATAAACTTTACTTGTTTGTTATCGCACAATTAAAATCTACTGCCAGCTGATAAGATTTATTCTTTAGCGATAAGTTTCTCACTAAAAACAAACAAGAAGCAGAAACTAACACAACACTGTAAAGCAACATTACTCCAATAAAAAAAAAAATTTTTTTTTAATTTTAAAAAGGGGAAAAACCAAACAAGCAAATTAAACCCATAGGTGAATCATGACCTGCAGGGAGATACAGCATAAAGATGATCTTAGTCTGACTCTCCACTCAATTGCTCACGGTAACTTATGCCAGGCAAGTTACTGGGGAGGGGGGAGGGGTGGAACGCTACCCCTCTTTCTTTCCTCTGTTGAGTGGATTTAAAAAAAAAATAGCAGATAGAAAAACTGCAGGCAGATACATACACACACACACACCTATATACTATATGTGCACACATGTGCACATGTATGCTTATATGTATACATAAAATTTATACTCACCAAATATTTAATTATGGAAGAAACACATGACTAAAAAAATCAAGAACTAAACTTCTACACAAAGAAGGAATGTAAGAACTAGCAGAACTGTATTTCCTATTATTCCAGTACATGAACGCATTTCACTTCATTAGTGTAAAGCACTGAGCCCATCCTGAAAGGCCCAAGAGAACCAGGGTTAGTTTGAACTATCATTAACTTTTATTGCATACTGTCTTTTAGAACTGTTAGCATGAAAAGGAGATATTCCCCTTCAATTCTTTTATCACTTTTGAAAACATTTAAACTAATATTAAGTAAAGGCAAGAAAAATTTCACGAAGCCAAAAAACAGTGGAAAACTACCACGAAAAATTGAAGGATCCTTGATATCTGTGGATTATTTCACTAAAACTGTAGTAAGGCTTACGAGACTTATTTGCGAAAAGGAAGTGTACATGTAAGAAAATATGACATCCTTCCTTCCCCTCAGTGAGGAGAAATGAAGCTCCACTAACACTGGGCTACGAACTTCAACATTTTTCATTCATTCATCCAGCAAACACTCATTAACACCCACTAACTGCCAGGCATCTCAAAGACAGGATCCCTGTGCTGAGATCTCACAGTAGGTAAGACATGGACTGGACATGAATGTTATTTAACTACTGTCATGATAAAAGCTACAAAAAAAATACAGTATGTGATGGGGGGGGCAAGCTGGGGGAAGGAGAACAGGGAAGATTTGAAGAATAAAAGGAAAGGGGAAGGCTGCTTCAGATATTATGTCATTTAATCTTTACAACTGGAGGCTAACTAACTTTCCCAAGGTCACAGGACTATTAAGTGTCAGAACCAGGCTTTGAACTCAGGTTTGAATGATTCCAAAGTCTATGCTTTTCCCATCATACCACACAGCTTCTTCCCAAAACTGTCTCCTCTGACAACTGATGGAAAAATGTTGACTCCATCCCAGATTCTAAGTGTCAGAACTAGACCCTGTCCTCCAGGCTGGGTCCTCTGTTTTTCACCTGCCACCTCCAAACTTATTTATACAGATATCTAGATTCGGGTTGCTAAAAAACTGAATTTGTTCACCCAGACCATAACCATGTACAACAACAACACACCTCCAAAGGTTCTTTTTTAGGTTACCACTTTGTTGTACTTTAAATAAAACACAGAACTTTCCGCCAAACAGTCTTGCAAAGTGATTCATAGACTATAAACCAATTAACGAGCTACAGACACTGGTTCAGGCGACAGTTTAGCATTGAAAACTAAAAGCAACTACACACACAGCAAAGATGAAGCCATACTTTCACTTCTGAAACGAATTTCAAATTCAAGAACTCTCACATGACTGGAATCTCTACTCAGAAGGGCTGCACTTTCCCTCCTTCCTGTTCCTACTTCCTCTTTCTCAGCTCTTCCTTTCTCAGGAATCTCACACTTCCAAACAAGGCGTTCATTACATGAGATCTGTGTGCAAAAGAACACAGTCCTATAAAAACCAAATTTGACAAGCTTCCCTTTCCCCTACATTCTTCTTGTGGTTTTTAAAGCTGATTGAAGAACATAAAGCTAGATCTTTTAACCTAAGATTTCATCACAAGCCACTTATAAACCACTTAAATAATCCTTTGTTCTCCCGCTGCCTTAAGGTAGCAGAATTTCTCTTTAAAGTTTATCCAAAGGTCTCAACCTTCTACTTTTTCCTCCAGAACTACCACCAACCGATACAGCAAACGACAGGATGGCTATGAAAATCAGACTACCAAAGACTCAGCCAAAGTTATACATCCAAAACAGCCTCTCATGACTTTCCGTTAGAAAACACATATGTAAATATAGACAGGGAGAGCAAGCGTCAGCGCCAGCCACTGTTAACAATATGGAGAAAGAGAAATGATAGGGTGTGGCTTGCAAGACTGAACACTGATTTGAAAGCTCAACACTCAAACGCCTGATGCATTTATTCTACCCGAGGAACAGTTACCAGTAGGCAAGACCCTCAAGTACAGGAGATGCAGTATTAAACCCACTTCCAAACACTGTCCAAGGAAGCACCATCACTCAATTTCTAGAAGCGCCAGGCTACTTCGCAAAGTTAACAGAGCAAAGATACTGGAAGACCTAATTATGTGCTGTTCAGGAAACTTATGGATTATTTGGAGCAACAGACACGGTATACATCCAAACATTATCATACAGTAATTACGCAGGGTTTATAAGGTGAGTTTATATCCTGGGATTCTCTAGTAGTGATATTTTACAACATAATTATGGTTGGTATAGCCTGATGAATTTCCTCATTGAAGGTGAACTGCAGTGAAACGTTTTATTATTCGTTTACTGCTAATCACGTTGTTCACACACCTTATAAGAAACGTTCCTTTCGAACTGCACTGTTAGATTGACCTGTGTTGTGCCACTGAAGACCATCGTCCAACATGCTCTTTTCCTCGGACGCGCCTGAGCCACACGAGTGGAGCATTACACAGAAGAACTTTTATATAATAAAAGTATTGAATGTCTCTGGGTCTTAATATACTAACCACCCACCCCTGATAAATGACAAAGACAGCAACGAATCGCCAGGCAGGATTCCAATGTCTCAGCCAATAAGAAGGTGGGGGTGGGGATACACTAAGCTCCCGATGACTTCCCCGCACCCCAGAGACCCAGGTTGTGGGGGACTGGATAGGAATTGGACTCCGAGGATCTTGTTACCCCCGGTTGTAGCTGTTGTCCTCCTCGTTCTCGCAATCGCTGCAATGCTCATGGCCGTTTCCGTTCCCTTCCATCATCTGCGGCAGCGGAGGTACCGGCGGCTTCACTGCTGTATCACTCTCGTCCGCCATCTTGAGTTGCGAGAGCCGGCCTCCGCGCCTCACTACATGGGGGGTTCCTATTGGACGAGGGGAACTCGCGCGACACTCTGGGTTTTGTAGTTTTTGTGGCGAAGGTATCCGTAGCTAGGAGAAGGTCATTCCCAGGAAACCGGAACAAGATGGACTACAATACCCAGAAATCAAGAGGAGAGGCTGTCGTGGGTGGGAAGACAGCACTACCCGGAAGTTCTGGGAGTTCGGCCGCGCGGGAAGAAAGAACGGCCCAAGGTTGGCGAGGCCCACGCTCTGCCACCCGGGCGGCCGCGTGGCATGCTGGGAATTGTAGTTCAATGCAGGTCTAGGGTTTGGGGCGTGGGCTCCAAAATCCAAGGTTTGACCTCTTCCCGCCCTTGCTAGTGTCTGGGCCGCAGGTGAGCCGTTATTGGCTGCCGTTAAGGACTGTTACCATTCCCGGGTAAGTAAGAGGCCTTGAAGCCCGCGGCAGTGCCGCACTGGGAGCCCAAATGCATAGGGCCTTCTTGAAGAGCCCTTACTGCAAGAAGCCAGGTTGGCTCCTGGTCGCGTTTCCTCACTCGGGACTCTGGGCAGCCCCTGGTCGTTGGTAGCTCGAGGCCTCTTGAGAGGCGGTGAATTGTGATGTGCGGAACAGTGATCCTCAGCAAGGACATCTGACTGCTCTGTCAGGCCTTGCTGCTTAATTGGCCGGAAGATACTGAAGCTCTTCCACACCCACAGTCCCTTTCATTCTCCGCAGCAACCCTTCACAATTAATCTTAATGAGCACTTACATGCCAGGCTCTGTGGTAAGGCTTTTAGTACATCTCATTTAATCCTGTCAACAAGCCTAGAATGTGGGCACTGTTCCCGTTATTCACAGACAAGAAATGTGGCCCAGATTGATCGGTAAATTGCACAATCACATAGCTAATAAGTGGCAAAATCAGTGTACAAATATGGATCTGTCTTAGGCCCTCTGAATTTTTCACCACCACAAAAGTCCCATTGTCTGATACATCTACCCAAGGAAATCAGTTATTAGAAGGTAATTTTGACATCTTAAGCTATTTTTACCCTTGACTGAGTGGTCCACTCCCTTGGGTCTCACTCCTGTGACTGAATAATCGCACCTGATTCTTGAAGCAAAGCCCAGAGACAAGGGTCACATTCCTAGAGATTTCCCATTCAGGTTGGGTTATGGTGGGTGGTGAGGGAAGGACAAATTCTTATCATCAGAGAGCTCCAATGGCCAAAAAGGGAAATAATCTTTGCCTTTGGGAAACTCTCAACGTGGGAAGAGGAATAGAGTAGGAAGAAATAGTTCCCATCTGACTCAGGGAAACAAAACAAATAAAACAGCTAAATATAGTTAACTTTTGGTTTTTATATCAGTGGCAAGAGCAGAAGTAAATATGATCCAAAGCAGCAGATAGCCCCCAATCATTTATATTTAACTTTGGGAGGCAAAGACACCCACTCAGGCTGAGAGCTGTTACCCACACTCATCTCTCCAGGGCCAAGACTGCTGCGATGCCTTATATGCAGTGAAGGCAAAGGGAGGAGGTCAGAGATAATAATAAAGCCTTACATGTGTCAGATGGATTTAACTTTTCTAAGTGTTTCACCTATTATACCTCATGCGACTTTGTGAAGGAAACTTGAAGAAAATCGTGCTTGCAAAAAACAAAAAAATCACAGTGATACCTAGTTGCAGACCTTGGGTCAGAACCCACTTCTGTTATTCTAATTCCCAGCCCTATATTTTCTTTTCCCACAGATTCGTAGAGGTTAAACAAAGGCTAATGAAACATGACTGATGAAGAGTGATTGTAGAGGATGATGGTGCTGGTGTCTGTGGCCCCTGCCATTCTTGCAATTCGAAGCTTAAGTAAGACACTCTGCATTGTATTTCACTGCAAACTGAGCAGTTTTTGCTCAGTGGAGAGCCTTTCTGGGAGGTAGGCAGGCAATGTGACTGTTGTGACCAAAAGGGCTCTAGAGTGCAGACTCAGTAGTTTTGGCGCACGGGCTTAGGTGCTCCGTGGCATGTGGGATCTTCCTGGACCAGGTCTCTAACCCATCCCCTGCATTGGCAGGTGGATTCTTAACCACTGCACCACCAGGGAAGCCCCAGCAGGGCTGGTTTTATTCCTGTTTTACAGTCAGAAAACAAGAAGTGCAATGATTTGTCCAAAGTTTCACTGCTACCTAGGATGAGTTTGGACTTGAACCTGGTGTTTTAACACAAAGTCTGGTGTAGTAACTAAATTGCCTTCCTCCTTTGCCTTTCCCAGGGGGGGAACATATGGTGAGACATATGGTGAGACATATGTCTGGAGAGGTGATCAGGGGCCAGGTTACAGAAGGCCTTAAGTTTCAGGCTTATCTTCAGAGTTTGGACTTTATCTCCCAGCTGGGAAAGTTTTCTTAAGCTGTTTAATAAAGGATAAATATTAATGATATTTGTGAGGGATGGTATAAATTTAATTGCATATTAATATTTATTTAAAATAAACATATGGAAAGTAAGTTTAGTTTTAAGAAGCGAGTCAAAGATCCAGGAGTCAAAGGAGTCATCTCTATTGGACTCATAAGGTTGTTCACCAAACACAACTTGATGCAACTCTGTAGTCCAGCCACTACGCTAGATGCTAAGGACACAGGGGTGACTGAGATGCAGGTCATTGTCAGGATGAAGTGAGATTGTGTAAGCAGCCAGAGCCAGCTCAAAGTTTATTATTGCCATCCCGAATAACAGAGGATATGTGTTTGAGCCAAAAAAGCCCTTGATGGCAACACCTCAAAACTGCGAAGTTGGGGGCTCCCCTGGTGGCACAGTGGTTGAGAGTCCGCCTGCCGATGCAGGGGACGTGGGTTCGTGCCCCAGTCCGGGAAGATCCCACATGCCGCGGAGCAGCTAGGCCCTTGAGCCATGGCTGCTGAGCCTGCGCGTCTGGAGCCTGTGCTCCGCAACGGGAGAGGCCACAACAGTGAGAGACCGCGTACCGCCAAAAAAAAAAAAAAAACTGCAAAGGTGGAGCTTCAGTTCAGAGGAGGTTCTTGGGTTGAAGCCCCTGCAGCAGCCCTTCAGCCTTTCTTCCCGGATCATCCCAGAGCAGAGAGGCATCTGCTGTTGGCAGATTGGACCACAAGGATGCTTACTTAGAAAACAGAGCCCCCACTTGTACATCAGTAGCTCACAATACTGTAAGGCAGAATCCGGGAAAAGCAGGATCATCTTGCAGGGGTTTCCTAACAATGTACCCCAGGAAGAGCTTTATACCTTGGGGGAGAGGCAGGCATCTTCCTATTCCTATCACTGCCATGGCCAGCCATGGTTACTGATGGGAGTCTGAGTACCCCTCTGATGTGTCAGGAGTAGGGAAAAGGTGGAGAACCACAAATCGAGGTTATCTGAAAGTTGTTTGGTCCAGGAAGGGAACTGGGCCATTAGATCTGGCGCTATGGAATAGGAATTAGAAATGTTTTAGTATGACCCTATGGATTAGAATTAGGAGAGATATTACCTAAGGAAAAACTTTCTAACTGCCAGGACTGGACTTCAAAGATAGCATGAAGGTGTCTCGAAAGACAGTGAGTTTGCTGACTCTGGACATGTGCAAGTAGAGGTAGCAGAGATGATCTAGACAGGTGTTTGGACCAAATGGTCCCTCTGATCATGAGATGCAATCCTATTTATTGGGTGATGTCAGCCAGTGCTGTTGATATCAAGGAGAAAGGTTTCAGGGACTGGAGGGATCAGAGAAAGATGTTGGATTACTTCATCCTTCAGTGTATTGGATCCCTACTATGATGGGCACTGTTCTAGGCACTGAGGATACTAGTGGTGAAGATAGACAAGATTCCTACCTTAAAGGAAGCGGAAAGCAGAAGTACAGTTAAGGGAGAGGGAAAGGAGGTAGAGTAGGAGTTAATTAAGGACCACCTACTATATGTGAGGCACCATTAGATGCTTTTATGTATTTCCAATTCTTTCAACAAGCAGCACAGTAGCGATTATTTGCACTTTGATTGAGGAGAGAGAGTGAGAGGTAAAGTGACTTACTAGGCTTGTATGGACATAATGAGCTCTGCGGCCAACGTACATTTTAAGAGACGGCAAACGGATTAACCTTTAAATGTCAGTTTCCTTTTGTGTAAAATGGGGATGACGGTATCTACCTCAAGGACTGTGAGGATTCAATGAGATAATTAATGCCTACAGAGTGCTCTTAAGACCTGGCAGGTACAATGTGCTTAGAGGCTGCACAGCTAGTGATGGCCAGTCCTGAATTCGAAGCTAGGACTCTCCGGATTGTCTCCCCCAGCTTGGAAAGGCTTTGGCTCGGAGAGAGGAGTAACCCTGCGGTCCCCAGCGGCCCAGCGCTCTAGGGCTGCGCGTTTTCCCGATTCTCCTCTCCCCGGTCCCGCCCCGCCTCCCCGGTCCCGCCCCGCCTCCCCGGTCCCGCCCCGCCTCCCCGGTCCCGCCCCCTGCCGCTGGCCGGACGTCCGGTCCGCGTGCGCGCGCTCCTGAGGCCTCGACTGCCCTCCGGGAGCCACCCAGTGAACGCCTGTGGGACTGGGCGAAACGCGGCTTCCGAGGTCGGGTCAGAGGCCCCGGGTACGTAGAGCGCCGCACGGGCAAGTGGGAGCTGCCGGGCCCGGGGAGGGGCGGGCCGGGCGGCGGCTCCCGGCGGCGGCTCCCGGGGTTGCATTGCTCTCTTGGGCGCTCAGGCCACCCCGGAGAGCTGGGTCCACCCCGGAGGTATTGTGTCCCGGTGCCGGGCTCTGGGCGCACCAGTCGTGCTGCGTGGTGTAGCGTAGAGTACGCGCCTTTCTTTCAAGCCTTGGTTACAGTTTATTGAGCACATACTATTTTACCTCCATGGCTCATTGCCTTGACAGCAGCCCTACTAAGTAAGGTGATGTTTTACCTGTTTTACAGCTGTGGAAACCGAGAAAGGTTTACAGCTAGAAGGCGGTGGAAATTGAATTCAAACTCTGGTTCAGTCCAAAGCTACTGCACTTCAGACCTTTGTGGTCAGATATAAGTTTGATTTTTGAATCCAGCGTCTGCCACTTATAGTTGTGTGATCTTGGGTACCTTTCCGACTCTGCTCATGTGAAAAATTGGAGGCATGGAGTTCCCACTTATGCATTGATGAAGAGGGCAGCCTGACCCCCTGCTTTTCTCCGCCTCCCAGCTTCGCAAACGGAGGCTTTGGCGCTTCTG